AGTTCATGTAGTTCGCGCATGCTCAGACAATTTTCTCACCTGTTCAGTCAGGTGGCTTAGCCAGGGCCGCCCAGAGGTTGGCGGGGGCCCGGGGCAAATTTTTTTTAGGGGGCCCTATCTAAAAAAATTTTTCCGGAAAAATGTTTTCCGGATATTATTCTGGCGACCTCCTCCCCCCGTCGCCAAAAAATTTTCGGTCAGTGTACCATTTTAGGGGTAAAAAAATTTTTCGGACGCAAAATTTTGCCGGACGAGTACGTTGCAAACGCTTTTGAGGGACTTTATCTCATTTTTTTAGGCCAAAATTCGGTACTTAGCCCAAGAAAACAGATATCTTGTCCTTTGCGCGGAAATATTTAACACACAAAAAAGGCGGGGCCCCTACAAAAATTTTTCAGGGGCCCCCAGCAACTCGGGGCCCGGGGCAAATTGCCCCCTTTGCCCCCCCCCCCTCTGGGCGGCACTGGTTATGCCCATGTATGCATATGCCACGCCATTTTGACGCCATTTTCACGTCGTCTTTGACGTCCGCGTCCTCGATCTAAATCTGTCTATTATTATGACACGCGCGAGGGTAAAAATTTCAACACGCACTTTTGGGCAGCCTACGATTTTTTAAAAATAGTTCCGATTTCCAAAATCCAAATTCCAATTTGCTGACGTGTGCTATAGTTATATTTCTTTAATCTGATTGGATAAAGGCGTGCGCACACGTCATCATTCCTCGTTGCAATTGGACGAAATATTACAAACATATCAATCACGTAATCATGTTTAGTTGTTTTTGAATTTTGAGCCAAACAAAATTTCAACAACTGCCTCAAACAAAATCAAACAAGTTCAAAGCTGTTTTGATCACAGGGGGTCCAACTAAGAGCTGTGTTATGAATATGAATAAAACATTAATTAAGTAATATGAATAAAACATCATAACGTAATATATTTAAATTATTGCACTTACTTGTATAAATCATAAGAGCTTGTATTTGCAGTGAATAGCTTTTAACAGGGCGCTTATACACGCTAGAAAATCGCTCAGAAACACTTGATTCGAACGATTGTTCAAATATGGCGAATAAATTGACAAAACGAAAATATTACATGACGTTCCAACGAAAATAACAGCAAGGATTGCGGGCGTGAGCGGAAGGCGAGGGTAATAGATATTAATAGAAGGGATGAAACACCGGTAATGCGATCGTGTGATGTGTTCCATAAGTAGCCTGTTCTCTCGGAAAATTCCAAAACGCCTCCTGCCAACTCCAACAACGCCTAAGCGCTTAATTAATGAAAATAAACAATGTTTAGCTATACCGGCTAATATGAAATGTTTAAATGTAGCGACCAACGGGTTTTTTTACATTATTTAGTTTTATTATTATTTCATCATACGTCACGAGAACAGGCTACTTATGGAACACATCTCGCGATAATGGCCAAGAATGCTCGCTGTTATATATAAATCACATAAATTAGATTGATCAGTGCTTTTTTGGTAATGACTAGGCTTGTTCATGTAAGAGAACATCGACTGAGCCTTAAAAACCCCACAAAAAGCTTAAACGGGTAGTCTAGAAGCATTTTAAAAAGTCACGTGATATTTGTTTCATCCCTTCTATTTATTTCTTCCCTCGCCTTTTCGCTTGCTCGCGCGCCCGCAATCCTTGCTGTTACTTTCGTTGGAACGTCATGTAATATTTTCGTTTTGTCAATTTATTCGCCATATTTGAACAATCGTTCGAATCAAAATGTTTCTGAGCGATTTTCTGAGCGTGTATAAGCGCCCTGTTAAAAGCTATTCACTGCAAATACAAGCTCTTATGATTTATACAAGTAAGTGCAATAATTTAAATGTATTACGTTATGATGTTTTATTCATATTACGTTTAATTAATGTTTTATTCATATTCATAACACAGCTCTTAGTTGGACCCCCTGTGTTTTGATTTTTGAAGAAACTGTGGCAATCAGAATACAAGATCTACAGCTTAAGAAATGAAAAATACATGAGCAACCGAGTGTTCACTGCAACGTTCTTCATTGTTCAAATGAATACGAAATTCGTTATATACAATGATTTCTTTCCAATTTCAAGTGAAATCAGCGAGCGAGGAAGACACCTTATTGAGGTTTTTTGTTATTGTATGTACTATTTTGAAGAAAAATATGCAAGTAGGTTGTCATATTTCGGTCGTACTTAAAGACCAATTAATTTTGAAAATTGTTTACGATAAGAACCTTTCTTGAATTTGTCGTATTTTTTCGGCTGTTTTGCTCAAAAATTATCTCGCAAGTTTGTTTATAAGTGTTCATATGAAAGTCTGGCTATTTCACGAAACACTACAACCGAAATATGGCGACCTGTTTGGCCGATTTTTGTTCAAAATAGTGGATACACAAGCTTCGTAAGGTGCTTTCCTCGGTTCGTTTGCAACAGGTCTGTCGCAAGTTGTTGAAAACAGCATTGCTGCAGCTCTGTGTCAACAACTTGCGACAGGCCTGTTGAAAACAGCATTGCTGCAGCTCTGTCACAACAGCTTCCAACAGACCTGTTGAAAACAGCATTGCTGCAGCTCTGTCACAACAGCTTCTAACAGACCTGTTGACAGGCCGTTGCGGACCTGTCAGAACAGACAGGTACAAGGCGAGCGAACGCATCCAGATATCGGCTTGTTGACAACAGGATTTAACAGATCTGTTGCAGATCTGTTCCGACTTGCGCGTTTCTGGCTGTGTAGCAGTGTCTGAACTATCCAAAGCTAAAACTTGGTTGATTAAACAAGCCCAAGCTCAAATGTTCCCAAACACTATCAAATTGTTAAGAAAGAAAAACCCATTACCATTGTCGGATCCCTTGTAATCTCAGCATCCACTGATCCTTCATGGAAAGCATTATCTGTCAACCTTGATCGTACAGAGTGAACATTTATCAATTATTGGACGAGGTTGAGCAAAATATTGTGATTTGTCGGTGGCGAGCAGATCAATTATTTGCCGATGCCGAAGGCAGAGGCAAATAATTGATCTGCGAGCCACCGACAAATCACGATATTTTGCGAGAACCGAGTTCAATAATTGTTTTATCATTCACTTCATTTCATCTTTCGTTCAATATAAATTCGCCGTCTCTCTTTCTTGCTTCTGCATTAAACTTGCGAAGGACGTTGGCAAGAGTTTCTTTTGTAGTTTTAAGCCAACTAAATCTTCTTTGTTGATTTAGTCTTGCTTCTAAATGCTGGCGGAAGACATTGACGGCGGTTTTAGTTGCTTTTTTATTTTTAAATAAGCAAGACAACTCATTTTCCGAAAGTTCAGCAAAGCGAGCCGCCATTGTTTACAAAAATTGAAGGCAATGCGCATGCTCAGACTATTATTTGTAGCTGAGCAACGTTCTTAACAAATGCGCATGCTCAGACTATTATTTGCACGCAGTTATTTGCACGCAGTTATTTGCAGGTAAATTAACCAATCAAAATTGAGAACACTATAAAGTGAATGATAAAAACGATTGTGTCATGCCGGTCCAAAGCTAACGTTAGGATCGTAAGTTGATACGTGAGTGTGTAGTGTGCAAGCGAGCATCTTCAAAGATAACAACTCAACTGATGGATCAACTTCCGTCAGCACGTGTTTTGCCCACCTTTGCCAATGAGAGAGTCTCGGTCGACTATGCTGGACCGTTTACACTAAAGATAGGATCAGTTCGAAAGCCAACGTATCGCAAAGCCTATGTAGCAGTTTTTGTTTGCCTCGTAACCAAGTCGTGTCCACTGGTCGTGTCACATCGAATTAGTATCAGACCTCTCAGCGGAAGCATTCCTTGCTGTACTTTGTCGGCGATCGTCGCTTTGTTTCTCGAAGAGGAAAACCCACGCAGATTTGGAGCGATAACGCGGCTTGTTTTCGGCGTACGAATAAAGATTTAAGGGAACTTTATCGACTACTTCAAAGACCAGATATGAAAGAATCTGTTATGAACTTTTGTTCGTCCCAAGGCATCCAGTGGATGTTTAGCCCACCCACCGGTCCTCATCATGGTTCTGTTTGGGAGAATGGGGTAAAGTCCTGTAAATGGCACTTTACGAAGCGAATAGTTGGGGAAACCAAACTAAACTTCGAAGAAATGACAACCACCCTCTGCCAAATCGAAGCCTGTCTCAACTCTCGTCCACTGATACCTTCGCTTGATACAAATAATGATGATGGAATATCTCCACTTACTCCTGGGCTTTTTCTAATTGGATGTCCTTTAGAAGCTCTACCTAGCCGCATTTATAAAGAGCCCATTCTTGGTTTAAAAAGATGGAAACTCTGTCAAGCATTGACACAACATTTCTGGAAACGATGGTCTGCTGAATATCTCAATGGCTTACAACGATTTAACAAGTGGAAAGTTCCAAAACGAAATCTTCAACTAGACGATATTGTCCTCGTTAAAGACAATCGTACACCACCTTGTCAATGGCCTCTTGGTCGAGTCACAAAGGTTCATCCTGGTCCAGATAAACTTGTTCGAGTCGTTACTGTACAAACGAAGACTGGCACCTTCACCCGACCGATTGTGAAGTTATGTTTACTTCTACCAGCGAAGGAAGTGCCGAAGAAAGAAGATCAAATGAAGTGAAGTAATGAACAATGAACTATAAGCTTGAACAGATAAGTTTAGATATATGTTTATATTATTTCATGACATTCTTTTGTTGATGCAATCAAGGTCGGCGGAATGGACACGCTTTATGTATTACATAAAGTATTTAGCATAATTTAGCAAGCGCATGCGCATTAAGCATGCTCTTAAGAACACATGTTTTGTAGGAAAAGAAAATATAAGTTTTACCTCTGTTACTCGTTGTTTTTCTTGGATGAAACAAAGGACTGCTAGCTCGGCAGTTAAAAACAAGTAAACAATCGCATCTAACCTCCTTGAGACATTTAGGTTCAAGATATACTGTACTTTGTGTTGACGAATGTTTGATGATTTATTTTACGTTAGTTCAATTATGTTTGGAGGTCAGTATAACTTTGTTCGCTGCATTGTCAGAGGACAGTGGTGTCACAGAACGTTATGTTAGAGTGGGTAAGACAGATTAGATGGTTCCAAGATGGCAACGAATAAAACATGTGCTTGGATAGCCAATTTATCCCGGGCGTTCTGTGACCCCCGTCCGCGATCAAATCAGATCATGTGTTAACACAATTAAACACAATTCGAATTCGCGCGCGGATTATGGAAATTGGCGCGAACTACAAAATGCAGGGAACTACAAATTAATAATCAATGAACAAGCATGGAAGTAAATGTCCCTTTCTCTATTATTTTACGTTAGTTCAGTTATGTTTTAGAGGTCAGTATAACTTTGTTCGCTGCATTGTCAGAGGACAGCAGCACAACAAAACGTCATGTAAGACAGATTCGATGGTTCCAATATGGTGACGAACAAAACATGTGCTTGTTAATCCTTTGTATATTTTAACTGATTTTAACATTAAAACTTACTTCTCTACGTAAACTAAAGACTCATTCAATATTTGTGAACACTTTGCACCCCCCGCCCGCCCTTGTGCTGTCAATCTTGAATCCGGGCCTTTTTATCAGGAAAGAAGACGAACAGCTTACATTCCCATACTGATTACTGAAACCTGAGAAAGGTCCTCTCGAGAGGACCCCCAAACCCACATGTTCACAATTTTCCAGTTAACTGCCTCCTAGGTAGATCCCTTTAATTTTCTTAATTCACTTCCTCTCCACCGACTAATTCTTAAAGAGTCCCTGTCTTTAATCATGCATTGTCCTTTAACATTAAACTTTACACTTTCTGCCTTCTTTAATATATACATTTTCTGAATGATACAGTATATGTATTTATTTTACCCGTATTTTGCGTTTTCCTTTCTAGGAAATCCAGGCAGTAGCGACATATATGTGGACACTGGGGCTGTCATAAAATGTCAAAGTTTGACAGTGTATCTCAAAGATGGCTCTAACGTATTCCTGAATGGCACAATAACATGCACTACGTCATTTGATAGTCTGAATGTTCGAGTTATATCTGGCAATCTGCATGTGAGTGTGAGCGGGATTCTAGGACAAAAGGTCTCCAAAGACAACTTATCCGATAAAGATATCAAGAAAACAAATAAGAAGAAAAATCAACACACGAACAGTTTCAATGGATATCCGCCAAGCACGTTAGAACAGAACAGCAAGATCGACCCATCCTATAAACAGGATGCAAAGACTGACTCGTCAGATCAACACAATACTAAGGCCGAAACAAACAAACTGTATTTAGAAATGGTCGAAGGGAACTTGACAAATTTTGGTAGAATCTGTGCTAAAAAGTACCTGTTGTTAATCTGCGACACCTTGATGCTCTGTGAGGATTCCGAGTATGATACAGCATCAAGAGGGTTTCGCAGTTACACTGCATTGCAAAAAGAATCTGGATTTTTGTCAAGTATCTGCCTACAAGAAAATCCAAAACAAAGCTCTTCGTCTTATGATCCTCGATTACTTCCAACTGTGCGAAGTCTTGATTCTAAACGTTTGATATCCATTTTGAATGAAGAAGTCGATCCAATGGTCGAAGTAGATGATTGTAGTATCCACACTGAATTCAATAATATCTGTAGGGAAGGAAATAGAGCAACTTACGATAAAGAAAAAGTAGAAAAAGAATTGATACGTGGAAGTTTGAACACCTGGAAGTGGAAACATGGTATAATTTCCTCTACATCAATAAAGTGTGTAGTGAAACAAGATATTAATGATTGTTCACAACTTCAGAGCAAGGAATTAGCTTTGCAAGTCGACGGAACTGCAAGATTGGCAAAACCGTGGACATGGAAATGTGGAGAATTGTCTGGTTTTGTGAAAGGAGATTTTCTTTTCCATGATAACGCTGTGCTTTCAAAATTTAACAAATTTTGTGTGGTTGGTAATTTCCGAATTTTTCGAACATCCAGTGTTTGTGTTAAAGAAGGCGGTGAGCTAATCATTGGTGAGGAATTTGAAAATAACAGTGTTTTAATCAGCGATAAAAGTCTTAGTTTAACTCTTGGTTACCTGAAACAAGCAAAAGAGAGTTCTATCATCAGCAATGAAGATCTTCTTGTGGCTTTATATAAGAAAATTGAGGATATTTGGTTTGGATATATCTATGCTGATCATCATCTCTTTCTCCAGGTTCAAGAACGAGTTGTTTGTGACGCTTCATGTGTTGCAAAAGAAGTTCATCTGGAATTCGTCGGAGAGCGTCCACAATTCGTTGTCACACAAGTCCTTCTTGCTGAAGAAGGCAGCTTGAATATGTGGGCTGAAAATAAACATGAAAGCGCTAATTTTCTCTTGTCTGGAAAACTAAATTCTCATGGAATCCAAGCAGAAACAGCAAGTGTGTGTGTTCTGCCTGGTGGAGTTGCCGAGCTCACCTGTGAATTAAATGTCAATGAAGTTGATGTAATCACAAGATGGCTGAATATCAGCAATCAAGCAGTCATGATAAGCAGATCGAAAGAAAACAAAGAATCAGAAAACATGGAGAATTATAACTTAACAACCAACGTTTACTGTGAGGAATCCCTTGTTGTTGATGGGGCTTTGGGGGCCTTTGGTTCAGATCTTAGCATTTACTGCGAGGCCTTGAGAAACAACGGAGTAATAAAACTATCTACAATTGATCGTTCCTCCAGCTTACTTCACATTGAATGTGACAAAGAGCTTTTCAACTCTGGCACAATTGGATCTGAAGGAAACATGACCATTGATGCGATGATTGTCTCTAATGAAACTGGTGTGATAAAGTCTTCACCAAGTCTTAGAATTTCTACAAATTTTCTTGGTGCAACATCATTGTGTGGCCAAATCCTTGTCGACAAACAACTATTTATTCATTCAAAATCAGAAAAAGAGCTTATGTTGAATGTGATTGGTGGAAAAAGCGAAGGTGAGCGGCATTTTATCCCTCCTGATCAACTTGAAGTGAAATGCAAAAAGGCTGATTTAAAAATCGATTCAAGTATCATATGTCCGGAAATAAATCAACAGCTGTCAAACGAAAACGAAGGTGAGAGTTCTATAATGGTTCTCAGTCTACACAAGTGTTTGAGTCTAACAAAAGAATGTAAATTGGAAGATGTTCGTGTTCAATTCATCCAGATTGAACAAGAGGACAACAACAATTCAGAAGAACCCTCAAAATTCGTAGTCCTGGATTCATTTAAAGTAAAATCACTTTATCTTTCTTCTGGAAATGCACTGGAGTCTGATGTGGTAAGGAAAGGCACGGTATCGTTTGGAGGTTCAAACAGGTCAACTGTTGTTGATACTCTTGAAGTCGATGAAGCAATTCATGAAGTTATATTTGGAACAGAAAATCTGTTTGTTTGCACAGATGCAGTTCTAGATTGTGAAATGGCTACAATAAAAACTGCTCTAGAGTGCTTGGAAGTTCACGCAAACAACGTGAATGTTTATGGACAGATGAGATGCATCGGAAGAAGCTCCGAAGAAAAGAAATGCTTGGTTAAAGTTAAGAATACTTTCAGTTTAGACGGCAGTGTTGAATGTGCTGGTTCTGTTGAAATCTTCATTGGTGAATTATTTGTACAAGCAGAAGATGGAAATATAGCCGTAGAAGGAGACCTTCTGTTAAAAATCGTCAACGAAAATGGTCACCTCTCTTTGGAAGGTTCGACTAAAGGCCAAAAAGAATCAATTATGAAAGTTGAAAGTGATAACATCAAAGTTTCAGGATGTTTGTCAGAAATTCATACTCTTGGTTTAAACGCCAAAATCGATATGGCGCTTTCCGAGAAGAGTAGAATTTCATGTGAGGAAATTAACGTGAAAGGAGAATGGATTACAACTGCAGGTACGATTGATGAATTCAACAAACTGAGCATCCAACCATGGGCAATAATGAACTCTGGTGTTATTGATTCTGACAACGACTCCTCTAACATTTTCTTCCAGTCAGATTTAACCTTGATTAACAGTGGTATTTGTCGTGCACAGATGACGTATCTCGAAGCACCGTTCTTATTAAACCTTCCTGGTAAAGTAATTTCTGATGTGAATGACGTCACATGTTGCCAATTGGTTGGCAAAGAGACGCTTAAGTTAGAAAGCATTGCCTGTTTTCTGGGTGGTTCTTCTCTTCGCTCGTGTAAAAGATACGAGAATTTGAGCGTGTTGCTGTTCAAATTTTTAACCTATGTTGCCTGCACGCCTGATTCGAAGAGTTTAGAGGCATGGTCGAAAGCAGCAGAGTCCCTGAGGAACATTCAATCACAGATTACTCCCGATGCTAGTAAACAAGATTCGACCAAATTAAAAACCCTGATGAATTCGAAAGATATAGTTACAGGAACCGAAGTTGATTTGAGGATTGCGAGGATGTACGACATGGTTAATGATTTTGTTGCTGAGATTTTGAAGAGCGGTATCAAGTCGTTTGATGCAACGAAACTAGTGCATATTCTAACAATCGAGAGTGAACGATACACGAAGATCAACATTTTAAAGGAAAAATTACTAAGAATTCCAGAAAAGGCAAGGGCGATACGTGAGCTAATAAAAAAAAGAGCAATCAAAATAAAGAAATCAGTCAGAAAAAAGTTTGCATTTTCAGATCCTAAAATGCAAAGTCAACAACAGGATGGCATCTTTGAATCTGGATTTTACTCGTTTGGTGAAGGTGTTACATTTACTGACTCCCTGTATGAAGCCGCATTTGTTGAAGTATTTCGCGATGAAGGTTTCTTATTTGCTGTGGATTTCTTAGCTAGTTCCAAAGATGTCGTTTTGAGTAAACGAGAAAAGAAAGCGGTAGCAATGGTAATATATTCAGAAAAGCTAAACATGGAAAACGTTGATGCTATCTATGCAGAGGTTACGGCTGATGAAGCAAAACTTAAGAACATGAAAATTAAAACTCTGGATGTGAATGCACGTGAATCCGTTGAAGCAGAAAAAATTATGAGTGATCAACTCCGAATACAAGGAGGCAAAGATTTGAAAGCTACAGAGGTGTGTGCTCAGAACGCTGTCATGACAGCCAAGAATATAAAGCTTAAAGGTATCAAATCAACGAACTTTCTAGATGTTCAAGCAAGTAAAGCAGTTGATGTAACAGACGTCCAAGGTTCCAATGTTCACGTGCAAGCTAAAGAAATCAGCGCTACAAATGTAGGTGCAAATACCGTTGTTTTGAATGCGACCAATAATGCACGTCTTGAAGACATTACCTTTGACAATTTAAATGTAAAATCAAGTCAAACAATCGTTGCAGAAAGCATAACAGGAAAAAGTGTTCACATGGAAAGCAATAATATCAGTGTTTCAAAATTAGATGCAAAGAATACAAGTCTCAATGCCGCAAATAATGCACGTCTTGAAAACATCCAGTCTGACAATTTACAAGTACAAGCGACAGAAACAATCGATGCAGAAAACATAAAAGGGGAAAATGTTCGCATGGAAAGCAGTAATATCAATGTTTCAACATTAAATGCAAAGACTACAAGCCTCAATGCCGCAAATAATGCACGTCTTGAAAACATCCAGTCTGACAACTTACAAGTACAAGCGACAGAAACAATCGATGCAGAAAACATAAAAGGGGAAAATGTTCACATGGAAAGCAGTAATATCAATGTTTCAACCTTAAATGCAAAGACTACAAGCCTCAATGCCGCAAATAATGCACGTCTTGAAAACATCCAGTCTGACAACTTACAAGTACAAGCGACAGAAACAATCGATGCAGAAAACATAAAAGGGGAAAATGTTCACATGGAAAGCAGTAATATCAATGTTTCAACCTTAAATGCAAAGACTACAAGCCTCAATGCCGCAAATAATGCACGTCTTGAAAACATCCAGTCTGACAACTTAAGGCACAAGCGACAGAAACAATCGATGCAGAAAACATGTGCGGGGAAAATGTTCACATGGAAAGCAGTAATATCAATGTTTCGAACCTTACGCAAAGACTACAAGCCTTCAATGCCAAATAATGCACGTCTTGAAAACATCAGTCTGACAACCTTTACAAGTACGACAGAAACAATCAATGCAGAAAAACAGCGGTATGGGGAAAATGTTCACATGGAAAGCAGTAATATCAATGTTTCAACCTAAATGCAAAGACATCTACAAGCCCTCACTGCCGCAAATAATGCACGTCTTGAAAACATCCAGTCTGACAACTTACAAGTACAAGCGACAGAAACAATCGATGCAGAAAACATAAAAGGGGAAAATGTTCACATGGAAAGCAGTAATATCAATCTTTCAACCTTAAATGCAAAGAATACAAGCCTCAATGCCGCAAATAATGCACGTCTTATAAACATCCAGTCTGACAACTTACAAGTACAAGCGACAGAAACAATCGATGCAGAAAACATAAAAGGGGAAAATGTTCACATGGAAAGCAGTAATATCAATGTTTCAACCTTAAATGCAAAGACGACAAGCCTCAATGCCGCAAATAGTGCACGTCTTATAAACATCCAGTCTGACAACTTACAAGTACAAGCGACAGAAACAATCGATGCAGAGAACATAAAAGGGGAAGATGTTCACATGGAAAGCAGTAATATCAATCTTTCAACCTTAAATGCAAAGAATACAAGCCTCAATGCCGCAAATAATGCACGTCTTATAAACATCCAGTCTGACAACTTACAAGTACAAGCGACAGAAACAATCAATGCAGAAAACATAAAAGGGGAAAATGTTCACATGGAAAGCAGTAATATCAATCTTTCAACCTTAAATGCAAAGAATACAAGCCTCAATGCCGCAAATAGTGCACGTCTTATAAACATCCAGTCTGACAACTTACAAGTACAAGCGAGAGAAACAATCGATGCAGAAAACATAAAAGGGGAAAATGTTCACATGGAAAGCAGTAATATCAATGTTTCAACCTTAGATGCAAAGAATACAAGCCTCAATGCCGCAAATAATGCACGTCTTATAAACATCCAGTCTGACAACTTACAAGTACAAGCGACAGAAACAATCAATGCAGAAAACATAAAAGGGGAAAATGTTCACATGGAAAGCAGTAATATCAATGTTTCAACCTTAGATGCAAAGACTACAAGCCTCAATGCCGCAAATAATGCACGTCTTGAAAACATCCAGTCTGACAACTTACAAGTACAAGCGAGAGAAACAATCGATGCAGAAAACATAAAAGGGGAAAATGTTCACATGGAAAGCAGTAATATCAATGTTTCAACCTTAGATGCAAAGAATACAAGCCTCAATGCCGCAAATAAAGCACGTCTTCAAAACATCCAGTCCGGGAACTTACAAGTACAAGCGAAACAAAGAATCGATGCAGAAAATATAAAGGGAAACAGTGTTCGCATGGAAAGCAGAACGATAAAAGCTAGCAATGTTCGCAGCGAACTAGCAGTATTATCTGGTCAACAGGACGTTCAAGTTGGGGATATAAAGAGTAAAATGGCATTGATCAAATCATCCCAAGGAAAGGTAAAGGTTACTGGCAAAATTGAGTCAGAGAATGCAAAAATTGAAAGTCAAAATGGTGTTAACCTAGCTTATAACAAGAACGGGAGCTTAACTGCTGATCATCAGTTTAAAAGTCTACAAATGAAGACAAACAAGATTAATGAAGTCAATAAATTGCTTAAGGGAGATGGAATTTATAAAGATTTAAAAATTTCTGATCAACTTGGTTTAGTTGTATCAGATCAGGATGTAATATTTTCAAGATGTGTTGTTCAACAAAATTACAAACTAGATTTAAATGCAAGATCCGTGAATATTGACAATGCTTCGTTAAATTGGAGCAAAGGAGCCTCGATTACGTCAGATAAAACAATGAAAGTAAATGACTCATCAATTACATCACAAAAGTCCATTTCGCTTGAATCAAAGTCAGGAAATGTCAACATGAATTTGTCTGAAGTTAAAGCTGGTGAAATTGCAAAGATTGAAGCAAGAAAAGGTTCAGTATCACTGAGCGGTACTTCAATTTCTGGTGATCAGGCAGCAATTGTTAAAGCCAAAGGAGATGTAATTATTAATCCTGTGGTAAAATGTCATTCAAATTCTTCCAGCTGTAGCGGATTCTTTAGTTCTTCCAGTCAGTCATCTTCTCATTCAACTGTCACAAAATCAGGCATCTCATCATCCAAAGGAATAGTTGCAGTTGAAGCACAAGAAGGCAAAGTTCAAGCTACAGCAACAGAATTTACTGCAGAGAAAGGAGTTTATGTTTCGGCCGAGAAAGATATTATATTCCAAGATAAAATTACCAGCCGTGAAGAAGTAAGTGTCAAAAAGAACTGGTTTCGAACAAAGAGAAGCGTACATAAAACTGAAGAAAGCCATAAATCATTGATAAATTCTCGAGGTCCTGTTTGTATGGAATCAAAAGGAAATATCCACATTACTGCAACCGATAATACTGTTAAAGCTGATATGTTTCTTGAAGCTGCAGGAACTGTCTTGATCCAGGACAGAATATTATCAAAGTCAGAAGAGAGACATACGAGTGGATTCTCTTTTTCCCCAGGAAAAGGGTTATCGTGTGGAGAGTCAAATAAACAACGTCATCAACAACAGCTAGCCGGTTCAAAGCTACAAGTTGGAGGAAATCTCGTTATGAAGGGCAAAAACGTTTTTGCTAAAAACGCAATGGAAATGGACACCAAAAATTTGGTTGTCAATGCAGAAAATGTTAAATTCGAAGGAGCTGAATTGAACAACTCATATTCAGAAAGAAGTTCCTCGCTAAACTTTGGTATAATGTCCGTCGATATTACAGAAGAGAAAGGATGGGAAAAAGAGAAAAAAATTATCAATCAGAACATAAATGTGCTTGGCCAAATAAATTTCATTAACTGTAAAAACGTTACATTGGCAGCTAGTAACTTGGATACTGGAGCAATCTCCGGATATGTTGAAAATCTTAATGTAATTTCTAAGCAGACGGAAGTTGAAGCTAAAAAGCAAACAGAAACTCTCGGCTTTGTTGTAAAAGGGTGCCTACCAGTTCCCAGCAAATATGGTGCGAGTAAAAGTTGTGACAAGAGGAAATTTGTTGAAAAGTCAAGTGGGATTCACGTTCGTAGATCTATTAATAACGAATTTAAAGTTGGTACCGTGTATTTGAAAGGCTCAGCTGTAACAGCAAACGGTGACATTGCTAAGTTTGCCGAAAATGTAATATCGGAAAAAATAACCAGTTATCGATCTCAGACGACGTCGGGGTTTAATTTTGGCATTAGTAAGACGAGTGTTGAGTTTGGAATTCATCAAAGCGAGAAATTCATGGAAATGGAGCATAATGCAACAATTGGGTCCATTTCTGGAACTGTTGCCAATGAAGTAAAACAATCTGTAAACACAGATCTTTCTAAACATAGCCAAATAACACAAATGCGTAATTCTAATTTAGGATTTAATGTTAAAGCAGGAAAAGACGGTTGTGCAGCATCTCTGCAAGTTGGTGATATCGGTGTTGGATTTTCCGCTTCAAAACACAAAATTGGAGTTCATGGTCAAGTTGGTGATAAAGGATTTAGTGCTTCTGCTGGATTATCTGGTGCTTCATTATCTTTGCAAAATGGGAAAAACAGTATAGGAGTTGGTTTAACAAATCAAGGCGTTGACATGAACATTCGCTCAGGGGATACTGCAATCGGAGCATCGCTTGGAAAAAATGCTATATCTGCCACAGTCCAGTCTAAAGACGTCTCTCTCGGAGCCTCTACCAGCAACGGATCATTTGCATTGAAATGTGGAGAGTACGGATTTGGGCTTGAAAAATCAAAGGAAACATCAGCAGCAAAATCAAAATACTCCGCGAACATAAAAGCGCGAAATATCGAAATTGAGGCTTCGTCTTCAAAATGCCAGAAAACGTTTGGATTGACAGCTGGAGAATATCAAACTAAATTCAACAAAGAAAAGGATGCAAAGACAGGAAAGCCAAAATATGATGGAAATCTAAAAGTTGGTGATGTTAAAGTTGAAGCTTCGTCTTCGAAAGACAAGACCTCTTTTGGACTGGAAACTTCAGAATTTCAAACCGACCTAAAGAAAGAAAAAGATTCAAAAACAGGAAAGTCAAAATATGATGGAAATCTAAAACGTGGTGATGTTAAATTTGAAGCTTCGTCTTCGAAAGACAAGACATCTTTTGGGCTGGAAAGTCCAGAATTTGAAATCGTACTAAAGAAAGAAAAAGATTCAAAAACAGGAAAGTCAAAATATGATGGAAATCTAAAACGTGGTGATGTTAAATTTGAAGCTTCGTCTTCGAAAGACAAGACATCTTTTGGGCTGGAAAGTCCAGAATTTGAAATCGTACTAAAGAAAGAAAAAGATTTAAAAACAGGAAAGTCAAAATATGATGGAAATCTAAAACGTGGTGATGTTAAATTTGAAGCTTCGTCTTCGAAAGACAAGACATCTTTTGGGCTGGAAAGTCCAGAATTTGAAATCGTACTAAAGAAAGAAAAAGATTCAAAAACAGGAAAGTCAAAATATGATGGAAATCTAAAACGTGGTGATGTTAAAGTTGAAGCTTCGTCTTCGAAAGACAAGACCTCTTTTGGACTGGAAACTTCAGAATTTCAAACCGACCTAAAGAAAGAAAAAGATTCAAAAACAGGAAAGTCAAAATATGATGGAAATCTAAAACGTGGTGATGTTAAAGTTGAAGCTTCGTCCTCGAAAGACAAGACCTCTTTTGGACTGGAAACTTCAGAATTTCAAACCGACCTAAAGAAAGAAAAAGATTCAAAAACAGGAAAGTCAAAATATGATGGAAATCTAAAACGTGGTGATGTTAAAGTTGAAGCTTCGTCTTCGAAAGACAAGAAACCTTTTGTACTGGAAATGCCAGAAATTCAAACTGAAATGAACAAAATCAAAGAAACTACTTCAACATATCTAGAAACGAAGGGCGATGGAATTGCATGTACATCTGTGCAAAGTTTGGAATGAAACGCTAAAGCGGGTTCAGTGAAAATGGCTGAAGGTTTGTTTTGTTTTGTTTGCTTTTTTCAGAATCTTGGTTTTAGTAATAGTTTAATTAAACTCTTTGACGACAGATCCCACTCGCGTCGTTCGCGAGCGGTTGATGGCTCATATTTTTAATATCTTCGGTTCAGAGCATGCTACGAAGACAGAAATACCACCATTCGATTCAGAAATAAAAGATTCAACTAATTCCTCACTATAGTTACAGTCATTATCAACATTGTAGCGATTTATGGGCCTTCGAATTCAAACACGATCATATTGTATCAAATTACGCTATTGGGTATCCAGTCAAAACGTCCCCAGGTTAAAACGTCCCCGACTCTGCGCAGTCAAAACGTCCCCAGGCCAAAACGTCCCCAGGCCAAAAACCCCTAACTCTTGTGTTCAAATAAATTGAACTGCAACTAAATTATAAAACAATAAACATGTTCACAGACATAGGGTTACGACATGGGAGTATGCAACTCTGAATTAATTGCTTTACTTGGCAATGAACTTCGCAAATAATTGTAATAGTGCCAAGATTTCAGAATGTTTTAGTGTTAGTAAATTTAAGCCAACTGTCATGATGCATACATGCGCCCACCAAATCACCAATATATGAAATTTAGCAAGGAAATTTAGCCACTAAACAACATATTCACCTAATAAAATCATAACTATCTGACCCTGGTTGAATATATCAAACCGTGGTTAATTTAGTTCCTTGATCAGATTAGAAGAAAGCCAAAAATATTATATGTGAAAATAGTTTAAAATTACTCTAAAATTGACAGAATATATGACATTTAGCCAACAGATTTGACCTTTATTTGGGATATTTTGACATGAGTTGGGGACGTTTTGACCTGGGGACGTTTTGACCTGGGGACGTTTTGACTGGAAAGCCGCAATTGTCTGAACAAAAATATAGACTAGCCATACCTTTCGCCGAAAATAACTTTGGCCCCTTCGAACATATCGTCTTTGTAATAGTCTTGTTCGAATCCCCATAAAAAAACACTATCTATAGTGTTACTTGCAAGCCTGTATCTTCAAATCTTTATCTTTGATCAATATATTTCCATTTCTTGTCCGACTGTGAGCTACCCTGGATTCCAGAGCCTTTGACAGTAAATAATAAATTGAAACGTCGCGAAGGCTCTGGTTCAACGGGGAGATTCTTTGATTAAATCGCGCCAATCATAAAACAGAATTAGTGGTTTTAGTACAGATTCTGTGGATTCCACCTTTCCGACTCTCTACAAACACGTGTCATTCCACGTGCTTCAAATAACCGGAAATCGGACAAACAAACTCGAACAAGAATACAATTTAGTATAGCGAGAGTGACTTATCGCGTTATTTAAATGATATTAAAAGTTGGAAAAGCGATGGGATAAAGTTTAAAAGGTTGAATTTAGCTGCAGACATGTCGTACAGTAGTTCAGGCTCAAAGATGTCCGTGAGCGATCTTAGTAAAGCCTTTTAAAAGATATATTTTTCATTTATCGAGCGACTCTGACACTGTGCTTAACAATATTAAAACGACAAAGTCAAAGTATTTATAAACATGGTAAAACGATGCGCATGGGGAACTTGCAACAGTGATTCTAGATACCAGGAACGTTTAGTAAATGAAGTAGAAGGAACAACAGTTACATTTCATCATTTTCCGACGGAGATAAGGGACAAGGAACGAAGAAAAACGTGGATACGTGCGTGCTGCAGGAAAGATGGCTTCGTTTGTACAAAGGACAGTTATGTTTGTAGTCTTCATTTCGTTGACAAGAAAGGCCCCACGGAAGAATATCCCGACCCCATTTCAGCGACAGCTAGTAGAGATACGGTAAGCATATGGTCTATGGATAAGAAGTCAAATTTTTATGCAAATGTATACATTTGAATGATATGCGTTTCATCAACATATTGAACAATATTGACACCATATTGTTTTTGTTATAAATAGATCAAGCGATTGAGCAGAAAGAGGAAGCCTCCTTCGACTAGAAAAGCATGTGGTAAACGATTTAGAACAGCTCACGACAAATCAGCAGCGGAATCGCTGTTTTCTCTTTCGTCAGCTACGCCTGCTGTTGGGAAAAGTACATATGAGCTAAATGTGGCAGAAACTTTAATAAATTTAAGCAAAGATGCAGTTACACATCCTACTATAAATACAGAGTCCGAGAATACAGCCACAGAAATTATGGAAGAAGATCAACTGCAGGGCATAAAAGAAGCATCAACAGCAACCTGTGATTCCCAAGTAAGCTATAGTTAAAAAGGCTTTTAATAAATCATTTTAGGACTATATTTAATAAATAAAGTATCATATTTAAGTTTTTATCTTGATGTTTTATTAAAGACAACTGTTTCAATGGAAGATTTCAACATGTATAGTATCCTGATAGTGTGTTACTCAACAAGAAAGAAATGTCAAGGGCATTATTTTTGGAAAATGTTGAAAATCCCAAGAAGACAGTGCACTACACAGGTATGTTGTGTGACTATGGTCTACTGCCACCAAGTTCCCCCGCCTCGGAGCTCTGCATGGTGAGTTGTGTTGGTCATGTGCGCCGCCCACCCATCAATATACATTATCTAGTTGCTTGACTACTGTATTTGAATTGTAATTATTGCTGACAGTTCGTTTATCAGCATGTTATTATTCAAATTACTGTAACTCATTTTGTCTCTAATGTTTTTTTGCTTTATCATGAAAAATAGCACTCCCTCGGCCAGGGCTGGGGGAGGTATCAAGGGTTAATATTGCCTGGTCATTTATGGAATTAAATAATTTTCTCTTTTAGGTTTGGATTCAAGTGTTCTACGTGCCATACTGCCATACATAATTTGGTTTAGGAGAAGGCTTCTAGACTTCACATGTGGAAAGGTAAAAAGAAAACAAAGGAAAAATATATTGGAAAAGTATATATTGAGGTGAGCAAAGTTTTCAATGGTGACAAGGTGCCTTTCAGTCCTATTGTAATTAGTACACGTATGAAGTCATAATTTATTTTTATTTTTAGCAAAAGAAAAAATTTTCCAAATTATCCACCTGGGAACAGTTTATTATTACGCTGGTAAGATTACGCCGAAAGATCACCATTGAAACACTGGCAGATTTATTTGGAATTTCAACTGGTTCTACGAGCAGAATTATAATTACATGGATATTGTTCTTAGAAAAGGAACTATCATTCCTGCTGCATTTCCCAACTCTCTCTGAATTGGATGGTATACAGTATCCGAAAGCATTTAGAGGCATTCCTGACTTACGAGGAATTATTGACTGCACCGAGTTTTATATTGAAACACCTAACCGTTTGCCAAGCCAAAGATCTACATACAGCACATACAAATCACGGAATACCTTTAAACTACTTGTGTCCATTTCTCCTATTGCTCACTTTAATTTTGTTTCAAATTTGTTTAGTGGTAGCATAAGTGATAAGGAGATTATAAGGCAAAGTGGATTTTTAGATAAACTGCAGCCTGGTGATGCGATAATGGCTGATAAGGGATTTAACATCCAAGATCTACTAGCTTTACGGGAGACGAGATTAATTGCTCCACCCATTATGAGAAAAGGTACAGTGTCATCGAAAGCTTCGACCATCACAAGACGAATTGCCAAAAGTCCGCATCCATGTTGGAAGAGCAATTAGAAAATTAAAATGCTTTAGTATACTGAGAGGTGTAATCCCGCTTACTGTGAAACCATATGTTACTTCTATAGCTAAAGTTTGTGCAGCTCTTGTAAACTTGCAACCAAGCATCATAGAGTATAATAATGATGATGATGATGATATAGAATACATATAAAAAAGTTACTATGGTAATATTTTATATAGAAATAGACCCAATTAATATAATTTAATTAAAATTCATTAAGTTACAATGCTTCATTAGGGGTGAACCAGTCATGCACAATTTCACAGTAACCATCAGGGCTTGATTCATAATTTTCTAAGTCCTAATGAAAATTTAAACAGTTACAAAAGACACTTTTGAGTGCCCCTCCTTAGTAAATCATACTGTACCTGCAGAAAATGTTGCAGAAAAAAGTATATGTAGAATCCGCAGTTATTGCTATAAAATGGTTGCTGTGGTACCTGCAAATAGAATATAACATAAAATTTATACCAAATTAATAAATAGCATATTACCATACAACTTACAAGTGTCAGCACTCACTAAATCAGACCATTGTTAATACATTGCCAAAACAATGGGCTGACTTAATGAGTGCTTACTTGACATTTTTCAATATTTTGATGCTTGTGTTATGACAATGATCAAGTACCTTCAATATTTTATGTGAAATCATCTGACGCTTTTGTGGAAGATGAAACTTGACATTCAGATGTTGCAGGAAACTAATAAGACAAACATAATGAATAAGAAAAATGGTATGAAAAACAATTAGTTCAGAAATTAATTCAGTACCTAACAATGGTGGTTATTTCATGTCCCCTGATGTTTATATCCCATGTCAGTGAATCCATTATTAAAATGTGCCATGGGGTTATAGCAGCCAACAACCAGTGATGACTATAAATGAAATAAAATCCAATAAAGAAAATAAATAGGAATTAATCTTAAATCTATAAGAAATGAAGATTGTGCAATCAAATGTAGCTTTTACTTTCTGTTTATTGGAATGAACAGGTAGTCTTGGTCAAGCATATCTGGTTTGATGAACATTTCTGCTCTTTCATTTCTTTCATTTCTAAGAAAAGATTGATTCACAATATATTATATGCAATACTACATAATGTAACCATAATATATAAAGTACAACTGATATTTTGGTTGAGCAATAATCTATCAACTTAAACTATTACACTGATAATGTACCTTGTTCTTTGCTTTTCACCTTCTTGCTACCCACAAAGGACTGTGTAAACATATGTGCTTACAATGGGAAACTGGCAACACAATTCCCTAAAGAAAAATTTGTATGACAACATTGTAAATAAATTTTCAATGTCTGATAAAATTACCAATTAATACCGGTGAGTTTATTTTGTCTTGAACTTCAAGTCATGGGGCAAATATATTGGTCAGCAGA